TTTTTTTTGTCTTTAATATTTTTTACTGTAATCGTATTTTAATAAATTTGTAATTTTTCTTTTCTTTATTCTGCAGTTTAAAAGTATTAGACATAATAATTAATAGACATTATTTTCTTTAGTAACTTAATATTTGTACTTTTTCTTTCTTTTGTTTTATATTTTGTCTAGATGTAAAATCACGCTTTTAAATTTAATTTCATTGCAACAATAAATAGATATTTGATAAAAATAAATAGAGAATTTAATTGAAAAGTGCATCTACGAATTGGACGATTTATATGTTAGGCTAGTACTACTTTATCACTTGATTGTATGATTAATATAGTTTTCTTTTTGTTACAGGTGATCATCGTGGGACTTAACAACAATCCTTCCACATTTTTTTCTAATTTCTATTTTTTTAAATGACAACTTTTTCAAATTAATGTATAAATGCATTACATACTGAAGACATACTGATTAATATGTTTTAAGTATGGGAAATAATGTTGAACTCGAAGTCCAAAACTCATATATTTGATTTTACTTGTATTATCTAATGCAATTTTTCTATATTTGAGTGAAGTATATACATTACTGAGGATTAAGTAGTGCGCATGTGTGGGGAAAAATCTCACTTCCTGGCATCACTGCTCTGTTGAACTATTATGAAATTCAAGTAGAGTTAGGTTAGGTTAATCTGTTTGAATAGTACTTTTCTATTGTGTTAGCATTTTTATATAATTTATAATGTCGGTGATCAGGTTGGACGAGAGAAAAAAACAATTGTTAGAATTAAATGATTTCACGAAAAATATTAACCAAGAAATTGCTAACATAACTTCTACTTTAGGATGGACAGTTGAAAGCATATCTAGTGATGTACATAAAATTATCATATATACTATACATATTATTGAATAAAATTCATTTCTTATTCATTTCAAAAGTGATATAAAAACAAGTAATGCATTTTATTTTCTCTAGAATACAAATTTTGTAACATGTCCCTACGATCCGTCACATCGAATTACAGAAGCATGTCTTGAAACACATTTATCTGCCTGTCAATGGAAAGCAGAAGGTTATCAAAAATTAGATATCCCATTTCCAGAATCAGCCTTACCACCAAATACTTCTTCGAGTCTCCAATTTGGTTAGTGTAACAGCATTTTGTACATTCAATATTAGTTAAGAATAAATCTAAGTATAATTATATAGTAACGGTTTGAAATATATTGTTTTCTAGATGAAGAATTACAAGATGAAGTCTTGCGACAAGCAAAAGAACAAAATCCAGAGATGAAAACAGGTTGGTCTTAGATTATGTAAACAAAGATTAATGTCTTTTTATATTTTAAATTGTTTGATCTTTTCCAGAAGATTATGAATGTTATACTTGGCACGGACTCGATATATATCCTTTTTCATATCCTTTGCTTAATGTACATATATCGATAATAGATTATACTTTCCACTATCATTGTAATTTAACCCTTTGCGCTTAAATTACCAACATTAATAGTATAACAACTAAAAGATTGCATTCTAATTTAATTCCAAGCATCGGTATAAAAATACTATGCTTTTATAATCATAATAAAATTCAGATGATACCGTTATGACCGTATATACCGTTTGATCAATTTTGTCCACATACTCTGAACTTCTTATTCTTGTTTTGTATAACTGACAAGCGCAAAGAAAATACTCAGAGTGCAAAGGGTTACTTTTATTTTTTGATCTCTTATAAAATAGCATTGTTATACTTCTTCATTGATCACTATTATATATATATATATATATATCTATATATATCTAATTTGTCTGTTATGAAAAATGGAATTTCTTGACACGCACTAGGTTCCGATCAGCGTTTAATTCCACGTACATCAGATAGACTCATCTCAGATTTTACTAGCGATGAAAGGAAGGCACTGTACGAATATGTGATCGCTCATACTGTTAAACCTGATATCGGTCATGATATTGCTGATATAAATAGACCGTAAGTTTTAAAAATAAAAACACTTATATACATACATTAATTATATAAATAATACTAAAACCTTATGTATCATCTATTTAGAAAGCTACAAGATAAAAATAATAAAGAAATGTCCTATTTGGAAATGCTTATATTAGAACGTAATCTAAAAAGGCGTAGAGCTAAACACAGAGGTGTGCACACTAATAAAAAATCCCATATAGAAATTATTAGAGAAGTTATTAATCAGCAGATGGAAATATATACAGAATATATTTTGGAACAAAAGGATGCTACTGATATAACAAGAACATCATACTCTTCTGAACAAAACTCAAGTACATATTCAGAGAAACAGAAATTAATTGCAAGTAACCATTATGAAAAACCATCCGCATCCACTCACTTCTCTCTAAGTGAAAAAAATGGAAATCACCATACAAATACAAAATATAATCGGCGACAAGAAAATACAATAGATAAAAATGATTCTGAACCTATTAAATATAAGGAATATAAAAAACATTTATCAGATTCGAAGGAAACAAAAAAAGATAAACGACGTGAACATAGGCACAGATCTCATTCTAGAGACTATAAGTCTCATAAAAAGCATAAACATAAATCAAAAGATAAACACATAAGGAAAAAACATAAATCTCGAAATCATGATAGATCATCGCATGAAGAGGACCATTCAAAATACAGTGATTTTACAAAAAAGGATTCACATTACACAAAAAATTGATAAGTATTTATAATAATGTATGCCATATAATTTATTTATAATAATTCGAAATAAATTCCTCAACAAAAAATACTTAGGATATTATATTAGAACTCATTCCAATTGAAATTATTCAAAATAGTAAATATTATAAATTGGATAATTTACAATAGCAAAATTTGGATTAATAGAATAATATTCAGTACTATTTAAGTGATATTTCGATTGTGATTGTTTGATAGTCGAATTTACATTATCGGTTTTATTTAATGATTCATGTTCACTAGTTGATGTAGAATTTATAAATATTCCTACTTTTTTATTAGAACTTATAGTATTATCTGTTGTTGTACGTAGTTCTTCAGTTGTATTATTAATTAGTTTTGACGAACTGAATTCAGTTCCATTATTTTCCTCCTGATACAATTTGTCATTCTTATCGTAATACATTAGACTGCATTCATATGTTATTAATATTTTTTTGATATCATAATAAGATAATCCTAATCTTTGACCAATTTCTACATTTGGTATCTGTATGAAAATTATAAATACCAATACGAAAGAAAGAAATAGTAAAGTGAAAAATATAAATGTGCATACCTTGGGTACTATTGTTGCTAAGGACCTATCTTTAGAAAACGCTGTCATTGAATAATGCATTATACTACTATAATCATATGGCAACCCATAATAATTAACTGTATTAGCATCTAACAGTTTAAAATTAAATTGAGTTCCTGAGAATAGAAAATGAATAATATATACTCATTTGATTGTTCAAATTTCGACAATTTTTATATTATTTACAATGTCTAAATCAGTGTTAGAATTATTGTTATTATAATTACCTTCTCTAATGTTTTCCCATAAAATATATATGTATTCATCACGATCTGGTCTCATATGTTCATGATAAACGCCTAACGTATGCAATATTTCATGAAGGGCATGACCTATTATATTAAAACATGTATATATATTTAAGTTTAGAAAGCTTGACCCACTAATTGGATTACGTCCTAAATCAGAATAACATCCTCTCCTGTTTCCTATAATATTAACCCAACTTTCAACTGAATATTCCCCATTTGCATTTGGATAAATTCGTTGAAATTTAATACACGTTCTGTCCATTATTATCATCATTGCTTCTTGTAGAATATAAAATGCTTGCGGATTATTTTCTGTAGTAAAATACAAATATTTATCAAATTATTTTTATACGGTATGTCCTGTAATTGGTAGTAAAAGCAAGCAGGGAATAATTTTAAATGACAAATTCAGTCAAAAATGTAGAATAAAATTTGTTCTTATAAGGTTTTGTTTATTTTCAAGAGAAATAAGTTTAAAAGTTTATCAAGTAAGCAGCGTATATTTGATTCAATTTCTGACAAAATCTATCTATTCTACATTTTTGATTTACGTTCATTACCTTTCATGTAGAATCATCTCCTAATCGCTTGTACTATTAGTTACAGAACAACCAATATTAATAAATAAAACATTATTTTATTAATATTATAGATTATAAAGAAATAATAATAGCTTTATGCAAAAGTAATTTACCAATAAGTTCATCTACAGTGTAGTACACAATTCCATTTGGCCACAATTTATCTTTAAATGCTGTAAATGTTTTTCGAGTATTTGATATTTTAATATCACCCTCTTGATGCGTACCTTCCTCAGGATTATCATATTGTGACCAAGTATCAACTTGAATAAAAGTCAAATGATATTTTTAAATATAGTTCTACAGTTGCTATAAACATCAATATATCTATACTATATTTCTTATAATACTCACGTCTATAACTAATAGTAGTTTGAACCGTTGTATTTGATTTTATATTTTGAGAGTCATTCATTGGAAATGATTTGACATTATTTGATAGGGAAATAATTAACAAAATCAAAGGAACAAAGATAATAGAAAAGAACAAATTCCACATATTGGAATATTTTGTTTTTATAACTAGCACTCGTAAATTGATCGTCACAAGAAACTTGTTTGAATTTCAAGTCGTAACTACATTTTTGAAATTGTATTTTGTGTCGAACCGTATTGCATCCAAATTTAATGCTTTAACAAGCATGTCATTTCATTCTATTCCTAACTACTGATATATCAATTTGTTTGGTTGATTTTATTTGCGCTAGTTAAAACGTATAAATTGCTCGTAACAAAGTTTCTTTATTAAAATTATAATTGAAAATTTGTCATGCATAAGAACATGCCAATTAAGTTTAATCACCGAATGAAGCATAACATTATATAGATAAAAGCTTACGATTAAATTGTTCATAGATATAAAGTATTTTTTTTTTTTTTTATTTATCTTTTTCTTTTACAAATCCGTATAAAATATATATATATATATATATATGCTTCTTATAGGAAACATTATACTGTACAGGTAACTTTTCTTATGTTTTACAACTTAATATCAAAATATAAATGCATAAGTTAGTTTATCAAAAATCTAAGTTATTATCTATAATAAAAAAAAGATTTATATATATATATATTATACTATTATAATAAATGCTCGAAGTAATTGCTATTACTACTTTCATTGCAATGAATATATCTACTTTACTACTACTTTTTAAATTACAAATTCTATAACATGATTCAGGCTGAAATATCTCGAAAACATTTGACACATTTCTATTTCTTCCAAAATTTGCTCTTTCAAAGCAAAAATATTATTTTCTATTATTCCCTGCATGGAGAAACCATAAGGTATTTTGTAAATTACTCGGTGATACCTCTCTTTTCCTTATTCACTGTACATCTTGTTACCAGAAGATAATTTAATCTCTTATGACAGCATAAATGTCGCCGATCTATGAAGAACAAAATCAAAAGACACATTAATTTTAAGAATTGCTTTAAATTAAGATTAATGTATAGTCTAAAAGAAAGATATTTTAAACTTTACTAGTTATAAAACTTGGTCATCGCCTTCATTAACAGCAATGGTAAAACTGGTGATCAGGTATGTAAATATAAAACTGAAATTTTTGTATAGAAAATATATGTTTGATGTACGTGTGAAAATGATAAACAAATATTTTATTTGAAATATACAATTCCATTTATGGACAAATTTCTGATTTTATATTTACAAACCTGGGATAATTAAATCCTGGTATATTACTGTGCACTTATGTTATTTTTCTTCTTTCTCTTCAAAAATTCCAGGATTGATGTAACAATGTTTATAAAAACCTTTGCATTCAACCGATACTGTTTGACAATAATTTTCAGTTGATGTCACTTTTCTCAGTCGTGAATCTACCTATAAATTAACATGATAAATTTCTGGTTATTTATATTTGAATGATAATATACACTTATGTTCGAAAATGATTTACTAAAGAGATACACTTACTATTTTGAATAAGTCACATATATGATGTTCACAAGCATGATTCATAAATACTTCACAAAATATTAGTATAAACCAACTACCAGTTACAGCATTACGAAAGGCAACATGTCCTGGTAGTGTAGCATATGCAATTAACATGTCAGAATAATTCCTAGTTCCTTCGTTTTTAGAACTTGAGTCAGAATTGTTTTTAGGTACATAATATTGAGATGAATCAGTTACCCGTTTAGGCATTGTCTTCCTTATTGTTGTGGTTTGTGTTTTGGTACCTCTAAAAAATAATCCTTTTGGTAACATAATATATAGGGGAAAAAAAAAAATAAAATATTATTAAACATACATACCGACATAATTGAAAAATAAATACTTTTGGTTTTCCTGCCAAGTAAGGACAAGCTGTGGATGTGAAACATTCTATAATGTCTGAACAAAAAACTTTTGTATGTTCATGTGACATATGATCCATGTAATCATCATCTACACCTTTTATTTCTGTACAATATTCTTCGCCCTTTCTGCCAGGACCACTGCCATGACTACTGACAATTATAAAACACGAATCAACATATTGTAATTCTTCACGTTTTGAAAATGATTTAACGCAATCTTTAATTTCCTAAAAAAAGATTTTAAATTAGATTATATTTAATTAGTACAATTCATACAAATGATATAAATTATCATTTATAATTAATAATTTATTACTACACCTGTCCTGTCAAATCGCAATGCTTTTCAATAGAAAATCCCATTTGATGAAACAAATGGAAAAGATTTATTTGATCGTGTATCGCTGACGTCCTAGGTTTTTCTAGATCAGATTTGTAATCAATATTTGTAATAATTAAAACTAATCCACGAGGATTACTTGTCATTTGATAACATTTAATAAGATCATATGGACTATTTGCAAATTTATCACTTTTTTTCACATTTATCCATAAATGCTTCTCAGTAGATAATATCTCAGAAAAATAATTGTCGTTATTGAATTCAAAGCTATTTTTTGTGTGTTCATCTAACTGATCTGCCAGTTCTTCATGATTACTTTGTCTTAAACTCAGAAGTAGATTTTGGAATGCAGAAGGTCCTCTAGTTTTAATTGTTAACCAAATGTTTTTAACAGTTTCTTCTTTGTCAAAATTTTTCTATAAATAATTAATAAACATAACAAACAAACCAACAAACAAACACAAACAATATTTTGTTTAATAGTTTAAAAGAATAGATAAAGTAACTATTTTTGATTGACTAATTGATCAATGTTACTTACTTTCCATGTGGATATGTTGACATCGTCGATGTTAAAAATTTTATTTTCTATTAACTTGGGCCACAAATTCATTATATTAATTGTACGTACTGCAATATCGCAGTAAAAATCAATTTTCTGACGATCTTTGACATTCATTTTTTCGCTTGTTAAACAATGAAAATTATCCTGAAATTGTCACTAAAGAGTTCAAAGTCATCGTTCTCAATGCTATTCTTAGCAGAGGAAGTTGCAGTTGCAGCTATTTCCGGTTTTTTTATTGTGACAAACCGCGCTGCACTTTTTTAAAAGAGATCAAAATATGTTATACATTTGAAAAAACATTCAAGATTAACAAACATCAAGATCAAGTGAATAATATAATAATCAAACAGTACAATAATATGTATATAGTGTAATTGACAGTTATCTTCAAATAACGGATGACACTTGACACATTGATGAGTCAGTGAATTGACGAGTGAACAATTTTTAGTAAGAAAAATATAGTATTCTTTGTAAAAGAAAATCACATAACCTAACTTTCTTAAAGCTAAAGTCCCTAGTCATTTACGTTCCTAGTCACTACAGACTAACGCTTCCTGTAAACCAATTACAATATAAATGGAGTATCTATAACAGCTTATGATTTATGCAATTTTTGAACGTATTTAACAAGGAAAAGATAAATTAGGGTCATGATAAAGGCTTTTTTTTCCAAATAGTGGTAATCAAAAGTAACGCTTTAAAATAAGATAATTGTATTCTGTTAATCAACATTTTGATGACTAAGGTTAAAAGTACCAAATAAAAATTTGTAACGTATGTCACGAGGCAATATTACAGTACAAGAATCATGGCGCAAGCGATGGTAAGCATCACAAATGAATCAACCCATCACATGGCATCTTGTCAAGAAAATTCCGATGAAGATTTATTCTTCAAAACTATAGATGAAGCTACAAAAATCTGGCTTAAAACTTTGTATCATATGTGGAAATTATGTAAGTATAATTAATTTTAATGTTCCTTAGCAATTTTGTTTCTCATTGAAAAATGCGACATTTTTAGGGAAAAAATCTACAGCAATTAACAAAATATTATTTGATTATTTTGATACCGCTCCAAATCCTTATTTGAGTACATTGAGGATTTTAGTAAATATACCAGATTTTAAACAAGCAAAAGCAGGATCGACTCTTTCCTTTACAGGTTTGTCCACACATTATACATATATATATGTATATTAATATGTGTATGTTTATATCTTACTAATAAGAAGAATGAAGTATATATTTTTAAATATACTACTACTTGTGTGTGGTATCTTTATCTTAAAAGAAGGTTGATGCATCTATTATATCGTAGTTATAGAAGAATTTTCAAAATGGTTAGTACTTCAAAAGGATAACTATAAGGAATGTTTGGTTCCTGATATGAAAATAGCAGCTTTTAAATTACTCAATCTTCATAAAAATATACAATTTGTTAAAATGGTCTCAAATATATATGAATTTATTGAACATAAAGAATTGTTTTTAGAAATGATTCAGGTATGCAAATGAAATTTTACAAATCCAATTTCTAGATTTTGATATAATGATTTATATATAAAATGTATCATCACATCCATCATTTTAGAGTATGATCGATAAAAAAAAGTATAAAGAAGCGGCACAATATATAACTATGTTAAAGTTACAGTCATGTTATGATGATCCAGAAGTACTATTACTGCCTCTTATTTTACAAAATAAGTTAGTTATTGTAGAAGATTTTTTATTTGAATATCCAAATATACAGAAAATATTGATATCGTACTTGGATAATTTAGTCGCTCTAGGAAAAGATATGGGTAATAAATTAGATCAATATATTCAGTAAGTTTATATCATTTTTATATCAATAATAGCATATCTGTCTATTTGATGTCAGCGGAGAGACATTTCATTCTTTTTCACATAGAGAAAAATATGAATGCTAAAACTTCTTACATATTATTTGGTATTCAATGTATCATTAATTACAGAGAAAATGATATACCTGACTTCAAAGTTGAAACAATACAAATGCGACCACTAACAAAATTAATATCGCGTTTTGTTAAGCTTTATAATATTCCACCAGAATTGTGTCCAAACTTAAATCGAAGACAGAATAAAGGTGCATTACAATTTCTCATTCATAAACGGTTTGATGATAAAAGCTTAAGTAAGTTTATTTTTCAATTATATTTTATTTTATTAACTTGTCAATATTTTTGACACAATGTTGAATACTTTGAAATTCGTTATTTGATTAATATTTAGATACTGAAAGTTGGAGAGAAATGATAAAGGAAGCAGTAGGAAATGACAAAGAGTTGCAATTAGAGTGTGTCAAATTATTATCCTGGTTAGGTGAGACTAAAGAAAGTTTCTACTGGGCTAAAACGTTTAATATTCCTAAAGTTAAATGGTCATGGGACATTTGTTTACACGCAGATAATCATCCTGATGGTAAAATTAAAATTATAATATTAGATTTCAGTGTGCAATTTAAAAAGTAGAGACTAAACATAAGAGTGTTTTACACTTTTGGATCTATTACAACATACACAACAAGTATTCTTCATTTGTAGATATAAATGCGGGTGCTTCTACTAGCAAAGAGGAAAATTGCGAGGACAGTTCAGCTCAGTATCATACTTTAAAATTACCTAGAGACGCAATTAAACTTATAGATAATCCAAGAAAGTTTGAAGAATTTCTTAATAATGGTTTAAGTGGAATTAATATTGTTGGTATTGATTCTGAGTGGAAACCAACTTTTGGTATATAAATGAACTTTCTGTTTGTAGAAATATACAAACATTTCAATTGTAAACTATTTTTTAAAGGAATATTTTCTTAGGTATTAAAAAGACCCAATTAGCTCTAATACAAATAGCAACCAAGACAAATGCATATATAATAGATGTTATTAGTATAGGAAGCGAACTTGATCAATTATGGACAGAATTCAATTTATTGTTATTCGAAAATAAACATATCTTAAAACTAGGTAAGAATGCTAATAATCATAAGAATGTATAATTACCTCCTCCTGACTGACTGACAATTATTGTACAATTAGGACAATAGGACATCTTGTATAAACTGTCCAATATAATGTGTGTATTTTTTTTTTATTGTAGGTTTTGGAATAGCTAACGATATATTAATGATACGCAGTTGTCTACCAGCTATTTCAAGTAAACTTAATGGACAAGGCTATATAGATATATTATTTTTGTGGAGAAAGCTTGTAAGTAAATACAAGTTCGAATTTCCTCATAAAGGTGATACAAATTTTACGAATGAAAGTTTAAGTAAGTTAGTAGAAATATGTCTTGGGGCAAAGTTGGATAAATCAGATCAATTTTCCAACTGGGAGCAACGGCCACTAAGGGAAAGTCAAATAAAATATGCCGGTTAGTAATTTGAATTTGAATTTGAATTTGAATTTGAATTTTACTCATTTGTCTTCTATATTATTTTTATATGAAAACATGAAATATTTATTTAATGACAGCATTGGATGCATATTGTCTCTTGGAAATCTATGAAACTTTGGCGAATAAATGCATAATAGAAGACATACCATTTCATGATATTTGTACAGAGTTACAGCACATTCCAAATACAAATAGCAAAAAATCTCCTACAAAATGTCCTAAAAAATCTCCAAATAAAGTATGTGTATTAAAATAAAACTATTTCAAGTATTATCTAAAAGGATTTTTGAATTATATGTTTATATTGTTTTTATAGTTAAAACTGGAATCAGCTCCTCTCCCTAGCAAAAAAGAAAATTCTCAAAATGAGGGTAATTTAAAACAATCGAAAAAAGTTCAACGAAAGTATTATCGTGTTCCAATACGTAAAAATTTCAATCTGCAAGAAAGTAAAGAAAAACAACTATCTCTTGTATATTCACAAGATCAATCTCTGGTATATACACCACCAACACCAACACCACCACCACCACCACCACCAAATCAATCCATCGTAAATCCACAAAATCATCCTATAGCAGCACATAAATGGCGTGTTGTATGTGATACAATGTTGGGCGGTTTAGCAACTAAATTACGTATGTGTGGATGCGATTGTTTATATTTGTTTGATAAGGGGGGAGAACGAACTGCTAAATTAGCAGTGGAAGATAATAGAATTTTATTAACACAAAGGGTAAGATCTTTTATAAATGATTCAACTATTTTTCTCTAATTTACAATATATTTTAAGTTTCATTATTATTTTGTAGCGTAAGCAATATTTACCATTAACGTATTGTTATAAAGTTATTTCAACCAAACCTAATGAGCAATTGCGTGAAGTGTTAAACCATTTTTCTGTCATTGTTACACAAAGGGATATATTCAGTCGATGTCTAATTTGTAATAGTGATGAATTTGTTGAAGTTCCGAGAGCCTCGTTTGAAAAACTTGTTGAAAGGTTTGTATAAAAGTTAATCAAAGTAAACGCGTTTATCATTTATTCGAAAATGTATGTAAAAATTTCGACTAATAACTAAATTATTTGAATATTTTCAGTTATATGAAAATAATTAAGCAACAAAATAATCATTGTGTTAAATTTGATGGAGTTTTGCCTGGAAATAAAAAACAAATACATCATGATACTAACAAAATCGATAAAGTTAGTAGTAGTAATGATAAATATAGGAAACAAAATCGTGAACGCAGATGGATTCTTAGTAGAAATACTATAAATATGGAAACGTGTACAACCGTATATAATATCCCAGTACAATTTAATAAAGTTCCATTCCAAACACCGAGGAGTATACAATTATTTTATATCTGTGAACATTGCGGAAATATTTATTGGAATGGAACACAGTCAGAGAGAAAACTTAACTCCACTTTTAAAGACTTGATTATAAAGGAATAATAAGAAATATAACATACGTATATGTTTAAATGTGAGATAGATTCTCGAAGAAAATATACTTGAGGACTAATATGAAGCACAAATCAAAATTGTCCTTATCGGTTAACAACTTCGAGCCAACGATAAGTAATTGTTCCTAGTATTTACAGCGCCAATTGTATAGACGCTTTACTGTCACTGGTACCCTGATTCGAATATATTGTTTATATATGAAGAAAGGCAGAAAATATTATCATAGTATATCTCGTTATCGTTCTTCCTTGCATTTATAAAATACTTTGACCCATTTGCTTCTGAGCTCTAAATAGATTTTACTAGTCCATTCACTGGTTTTATTTTTAACTATTTTCCTTCCAGCGAATGGACTATGTTATTATTGCATTAACAGCTTTCAATTTTTATATCCAGTGCTTGATAATAAGTGACATATAAAAATATGTTTGCAAATTGCAGAATGCAATTTACAGATGCAAACGGGTTAATATGAATGAATAACATATTTTCATTGAGTCTATTTCATTTCATTCGCGAATGTATAATTGCACTTTTGTTTCAAGAAAGATACCCTAATTGTAATATTGAAAATATGAAATGTTGAATAGATTATAACGCAATATACAGATATATATCTTATATATCTGTTATTGAGACAAATTTTTAATATATTTGAAAAATAATATTATTATTTAAAGATTTTTAACGATTAGTGATTGAACAGAAATAATTGAAAAATTAGTCATTTTGTATACGCATTTGTACGTGTTTTTGTTGTTTGTTTAGAAGTACAAGATAATGCGATTTTAATTTTATATATATATATGATGGAGTATATTTTAATTACTCAAATAATATATAGCGATTGTACATGTATTATTGTACAAAATCAACTTGTATTTATATTTTTTATCAATTGAAAACAGATGAATATGCGATGACAAATTTTGTATGTAATAAATTGTTTTATTTTCAGTTTTTTAAATTGTACGAGATGTAGGTTCAAATTTATGTATGTGAAGATGATTAACAAACTGATAATAATTACAAAAATGTAATCATTTATAGAAATATAATTATTCTTTTTACTTTATAATGAAAATTATAAGATACTGGTAAAAATGTTGACTTTGTTCCTTAGAGTAGATGATGACATAATGAAAAACAGCATTAATAATTTATCAATTTTATTATAATTTTTTTCTTTATTTTAATTATTATTATTATTATTATTATATATATATATATATGAATATTAATAACGTTTAATGTGCTTAATTAATGTTTAATTCATGTTGTTGCTGGATTTGCAGTTTGTGATTCAATGTTTGGATTGGATTTGATTAACTCGTCTATATCAATAAGCCCTTTTTTACCATATGGTGGTGGACCAATCAACTTTTCTATGTCATCATAAGTTAATGTTTCCTTTTCTAACAAATTTTCAGCTATCTAAACAATTAGAAAATACATTTTTTCATTACATGTCATAATTTAACATTAATAAGAAGTGAGATTTATGAGAATCATACTTTTTCTAGTTTATCTCTATTATCAGTTAATATTTTTTGTGCTCCTTCATATGCTTTTGTTATTAATTTTCGCGCTTCGGCATCCATTAGATTTCCTAATTGTTTACTGTATGGTTTCTTAGTTTCCTGTAAACAATAAGAATATATACTATAGAAATATATAGTTTAGATAAGAAAATAAATTATTTTAAAATATATAAATATAATAGAGATATATATACATACTTGACTAGTATAATTTTCGTCAAAAGATAGTAGTCCTAAAGCAGGACACATCCCAAACTTTTGTACTTGAAGATACGCAAGTTTTGTTACTTTTTCTAAATCATCTTGGGCTCCAGTTGTTATTTGATTAAAAACTACATTTTCTGCTGCACGACCACCTAATATCATGCACATCGATTCATAGAGTTCTTCTTTACTTTTAAGTTTGTATTCACTTTCGGTGTACTGTGCAAAACCTAACTTATGATTAGTTCTAGGTACAATAGATACTTTAAGTAGAGCACTAGTATATTTTAATAGCCACCCAATTAACGCATGCCCAGCTTCATGATAAGCAACAACACGTTTCATGGATGGTGCTATTGTATTACTTTTTTTCTCTATACCACCTATCGTCTTATCTATTGCATACATAAGATCTGAACCTTCGACAATTTTTTTGTTGTTTCTAGCAGCATATAACGCAGCTTCATTACATACATTTGCAATATCAGCACCTGTTAGTTTATTTTATGTGTACGTTTAGTAAGTAAATGATATAATCATTAATGCTTCCTTAAATATTCGAGTATAATATGTATACATTACATACCGGTAAAGCCAGGTGTTAGAAATGATAAATACTGCGAATATTTATCCGTATCTAGTTGCACGACAATTTTTTTTAAATGATATTCAAAGATTTGTTTTCTTTCTTCAATTGTTGGTAAATCTATTAAAATATGCCTATCAAATCTACCAGGTCTAAGTAATGCTTTATCTAGAATTTCAGCCCTATTGGTGGAAGCTAGAACAATGACATTCTCTGTTGATGTCATTCCATCCATCTCTACTAAAAGCTGATTCAGAGTACGTTCGGATTCATCGCCACTAAAATTGTCTGAAGATTCTGAGCGCTGTTTACCAATGGCATCAATTTCATCAATGTATATAATACTGGGTGCTCTGTAAAAATATACAATACAATATTGTATATGTAATGTTGTATAAGTTTACCTTTTATACCTTTTCTTTCCTTCTTGGAATAAATCTCTGACACGTGCAGCACCTAATCCACCAAGTACTTCAATAAATTCAGATCCATTCATAGATAAAAATGGTACATTTGCCTCTGTTGCTACTGCTTTCGCTAATAATGTTTTACCACAGCCTGGTGGTCCCAATAATAAAGCACCTGCACACAAAAATACAAATAATTTCAATTGCTGCTTATACTTACATATACAATACAATACATTGTTATATTACATAGAAATATTATTGACCTTTAGGTACTTTAGCTCCGAGAACTTGATATCGTTTAGGTTGTTTTAAATAATCTACAAATTCCATAACTTCTATTTTAGCTTCCTTTAATCCCGCAACATCCTCAAAGCGTACACCTTTGCCATGTTTCATTGATGGTTCGACCAATGTAAATTTTGCACTTTTCAATTTACTTAAAAATGGCTTAATGCTGGGTAAAACTGAGACTCTACTGAAAAGTGTATACGCAAGGAGAGCAATACTAAGGAGTCTCAATAATTGTAACATTGGTTCGGAACTTCTATTATAAATCACTGATATTTCATTATCTTAAAAGAGAATATGTGAGAATATTAATAAAATTTAAAGTTGAGTAAATTCAAGCAATTAATATATAAATGAATCATTCATTTGTACTTAATTACTTACCTTTTCTTATACCTAGCTTTTGTTCTTCTTTCCTTAATTTTTCTTCTATCTTTTCAATCTCTGGAATATACATGGTATATATACGAAAGGGTACTTTTTGTCCTTTAATAATTGCTCCTGGATAAAGTTGTATTCTTACTAGTTTACTTATCGGATCCACTACAATCTCTTCCACTTCTCCTTTCTCTAACATTTCATGTACAAATTCGTGCCAGGAAATATGATTTGTGGCCTATTTACACATATTTATGAAAATAAACAAATAATCATTCATTTTCTATGAATTATACGTTTAGTAGATGTGCTGCTTACTCTTCTGGTGAATGCTTACCTCTGGCGTAGGAACCAGTATAAAATTGACAGAAATAATGATAAATACTATCAAGATGACAAATTTGATTAAAGTAACTACTATATGCTTTACAGGATCTGACCCATTATTTTTTGGCGATTTATCATCATTATCATCTTTTTTTTCATTACGTTTAGAACTTGTACTAAAATTTCTAGAGCTTTCAAATCTTAACAAGTTACATTGATTATTTAAAAATGATGATTGTACGATGCGACATTTTGTATTTGTTTTATTTAATACCTAAAGGTTAAAGTAATATTTCATTATTATAATGTTTTAATAATATTTCATTAATTAATAGCGACACTTACATGATATTCTTTTAAAACGGATAATCTTCTCAATTTAATAATATTCCCATTGGCATGAATATATTTAAGGTTAAAAATATTATTAATTCCATGTTTACATAGAATGTCATGTTTCGACGAGAAGTTTATTATTTTATGTGATATTAAATAATATCGATTCGGAATTTTTCTTAAATTTTGCATCTTTTGTTTATTTTATATCTTACTGTCACATACATTGGTGATGAAAATAACAGCGTACAATGTGTAACAACCTAAACAATTCAGTCTTTGTATAGATGTGACATCATTATCATCATTACACGTGCATCGTCACTTTAAATCCTGAGTGTCTCTTGTTCATCTAAATGAACAAACGAAAAAAAAAAACATCTTTTTTAATCTTTTTGAAAAATTACAGTTACTTTGTTAGTAGACGTATAAAAACAAAAAGAAAATATTAGTTTTACGTCATTTTTATATTAATCGATATTGTGTTGCATGCTAATAACATTACTTTCCATCATGTAATATTATTTTGTTATGCAAGTATTATAGTTATTTCATATGTATTTCTCATTAGATTTAATTTCAATTTCGATTCGTAACATTTTGCAATTTAATAATATTTTTCAATTTGTTTCTTCTTATGGTAATATCCAATGATGGTAAGGTAGGAAACTGTGTTATCTGTCGGTAAAAACAATTTTTCACGGTAATATCTGATGGTAATATCTGTTTCCTACTTTATCGTCGCTAGAGTGCGCTGAAACTGTTACCCACATCTGTCGGTAAAAATGATTTCGTATTTTATCTACACACGCACGGACGCACGGACGCACGCACGCAAGATGCACGCATTACGCACACTTTATTTTATAAGATATCTTACAAGAATAAAAAAAGTATAAGTATGTTTATCGATTCCATTATGGTTAAAAAGCTTAAGAATTATACATTCGTTAAGAAATTTCTTTTTTAAGTATAAACAAATAATTATGATTGCACTAATTAAACTTGGATAAAATAATAATAAAAGTATTAATAATAATACAAACATTTAGTTTTAACAATTAAAATGTTGCTATTTCTGTACTACAAATTGTTCTATGAGTAATAATATTAAGAAAAAAACAAGAAAAAGGTAAAAAATGAAGAGAGAGAGAGAGAGAGTGGACTACGATAAGAGGAAAAGAGGTAGGAGAGAGGTAGAAGAGAGGTAGAAGGGAAATGTACAACGTACGTGGAGTAAGCTAACGGGAATATTTTTACTCGAGCCTGTTAACTACACTCTGTTATTTTATCTCATGTACGTAGCTTTCCCACTAATACAAGTGCGCTCCCGCTGGAATATAAGTTTTAAGGCGTGTTTTGATAGCGTCGGGGCGTGTCAGTTGGGGCTTCCTACCTAATGGATCGCTGCTTTGCTCATTCGTTCATACTTTTTCAAGTACACGACTCATGATACCATGAAACTTCCTTCCTTCAACATTACGTTCGTATTAAAAAAAGAAAAAGAGAAACAAAGAATTCCACTTGGAAATTTTCTTTCTATTCGTTTGTTAACAATTGTTCCTTCAAATACACGCTGTTATTTGCATTGTGTAACGTTTTTCTGTGGTTAACCTTTTATATGTTGGCGGCGCATAAACTCACCCCTTTTATAACACGTTACTTAAAAGGAAAACACTATCCTCTTTTAACACGATCCTTGTACAAAATTTCGAAGCAAATTGAAAATCGAGTTTGACACGCGAGTAATCGGCTACTTATAATTGTATATTACGTTTTAGTCTAGCATACATATACGTGCATGCATACCTACATATAGATAGGTAGATTTAAATACATATGTGTATGATGAGAATATGAGGCGACAAAATCAATTATTTTGTTAAACAACAAGCGATGTTGTGTTAGGTTTGGCAAAATAAGCAAAACAACGCAACACACGACGGTGGTTGGTGCGTATAGTCGTTGCGTATACGCCATTTCATTCATATATTGCCCTCCCTCCACCACCCCTTTTCTCCATTCGTCGTGTCTCTCTTCCATTCATCTCTTTGATACGTATAACTTACTTGCACGATAGATTCAACTATTATTACAAAAATGCTTGACAATTTTTTCCTCTTTTTTTTCCTCTATCTCTATCTATATTCTGGAAAGTTTGACGGAACTAAAGGACATCTTTTAAAAACGAAACGTTGATCCATTGTAATAATAGCCCTACTTTCACGGATCTGTCATTTATCGACTACAATGCAACGATAACAGTCCTACCATCGTCCACCCTCTCCCCCCCCTTCTCTCTCACTCCCTCTCTCTGGTTATGAAAAATCCGAAAAAGTAATAATTGCGATGAAAGACTGGAATGTTTTCTTTTGCTAGCGACGAAATGTACGGATCCTCGAAGATCTCGCGTAGGGAGAGGAAAGTGGCACGTCGAGGATGAGAGAAAGTGTGACGTATCTTTCTTTCTTTCTTTCTTTCTTTCCTTTTCTAACTCGCGTGCACACACACACACACACACTCACATGCACACAGAAAGAGAGAGGAAGAGAACCAAGAGGGAATTCGTGTTGGAATAACATTGGGTGACTGTGCTACTGTCAACCCCCATCTTTCTCTTCTACCTTTTCACTGTGTTCACGTGTCTCTCCTCTTCGCTCCTCTTTTCGATCTGACCTATCCTAGCCAACGGCTTAGTTAGATTCTAGACCACTATGATAGAATAGACGGTGTTGGTAGTGGTAGGAGAGATGAAACAACACGCCATTCCCATCGGCACTTTTCGTCTTTCTCTCTCACACTCCCTATCTTTTCCTTTCTTCTCTTTTACTCTCTTTGCTTCCCTAAATGTAGCCAATAAAAACAACACTATAGTAGTCAGCAGAGGGAAAGAGAAGCGGGTCGATGCTGAGGCGGTGAATTATAAAAATAACAGTGCGAGACGATCGAACAATTGGCCGATTCTCGCTCGGTGACGTTTCTACGGATGGCCAGGGGGACACGGGGGTATCCCACCATTGTTGTACAGAGTAGACACTCTACGTCTCTTATCTCCATCCACGAATTTTCTCTATTTGCATAACCCCCCCTCTCCCCCTCT